ATTTCAGGTGAAGAAGCGACGAAGTCTTAAATGGCCAACTTCTATCTGACTGAAGCATACCAGAGCTTTGCTACTTATTGGCGAAGACTTGCTTACATTAAAGTATCGAACTTAGTAGATAAACTTTCCCTGAATTTCAACACATTCGAATTGAGGGCTGAGTTCTTGGAGGAAGAGCCTCAGACAGCTGCAGACAATGCAATTGATGCTGCTGATGGAGATGAAGCTGGTAAAGGTGATGTTCCTAATGATGAAGATTTGACTGCTGAGGCTTCGGCTTAGTTTTAGAGCTTGACTCCTTAATAATGTAATTTGGTCGAAGCTCTTTTGCACTGAACATGATATGAATGGAACATTTGGCTTCGTCTATTTTCTTACTTTTAATTTTTCACTAAGTGTTTTGCATCTTTAATAACAACATTGCACCTGATTGTTAACGTTTTTTCCAACTTAATGTAAACAAATTGAGAAATGCTTTTGCATGAAGTACTTTTATTCAAAGTAAATGTATATGGCTACCTCATTCCATAACAACTTTGGTTGTTACTTGTATTGCGCTTCAGCTTAATCATCACTTTGGTTTAATAGTAGATGAACTAACATCAATTATATTTGCAATTCCAATGTTTTAAAAATTGAACTGATCTTAAATGCTACTTTGTCAATCATAGCTCTGTTAACAGTTATTAGTGCTAGCACTTCGGACATGTCGCTTCGACCAAAAACATTATTTGTGCTTCACACCATTTCTCAATTCATACTATCCCATGGTGGATACTTCATCCATAGGAGGCTTCAACTTCAAAGGGGAATGGTGTGTACCCATTTGGGTCGCTTTACATCTCGACTTTCAAAGTTACATCCTTGCATGGAGCTTTTGCATGTTAAAGGCTTTCCCCATTGTGGATTGTTCTCCATTGGAGCCTTCGCTTTGAAGGTAAATAAGGTGCACAACTTTGGGATGCTTTGTACCTCGCCTCCCGAAGTGGACATCCTTGCATGAAGCTTTAGCCGTATGTCAAGGGCTTTCCTCATGTTGGACGATTCATCCACAATCGGAGATAAAATAGAGTAGAGACCGTCGAAATAAAATTTATTCCCTTGAATAAAAGTATTTAAATAGGCCGGGAAAGGTCCTACAACCCAAAATGATGAGCTTTACTCATTGATAATATTTCCTTAAGTCCTCAATGATCCATGGATGGGGTTGTGCGATCTTCAATTAGATAAGTATCAGGTCGCAGCTATTCTATTATACATAGGGGCCTTCCTAATTGGGGCCCAACGTGCCTACGCCTGTCTCTTTAAAGGATAAGATCTTCCTTGATACCAGATTGTCTATGTGAAATGACATCTTCTTTACTTTAGCATTGTAGTAACGGGTCATCTTATGCCTGTATGTGGTGAACCTCATTGAGACTCATCTTTCTTTTTTCTTCAAGGAAATCGAGTTCGTATCTTCTCAACTCGTCTTTAGATATTTCGTTGAAGTTTATGCGACAAGGTGAGGTTACTCCAACCTCCACTACACTCATATCTTCAGCTTCATAAGCTATACAGAAATGATTTTCTCCAGTGGCTGTTCAGTTTGTGGTACATATAGCCTATAATACTTGAGAGAGCTCGTCAACCCAGGCTCCTTCGGAAGTCTCAAGTTTCCTTTTCAAGTATATTTGATAATCTTGTTGACAACTTCAACCTAGTCATTTGCCTAAGGATAGTGAGGTATCGATAATTAGTTTTTTATTCCTAGTTCCTCACATTGGTCTTTTACCTTCTTATTGTCAAATTGTCTATTATAACTGAATGGAGAATGCCGAACCGGCATATTACATTCTTCCAAATGAATTTGAGGTGCTAGGTTCCATGATCTTAGCCAAAGTTCAGCTTCAACCCACTTGGTGAAGTAGTCAATGGCGAAAATGGTATAACTTACACTGCTTCTCCCTATAGACATGGGTCTTATGAGGTTAATTCCTTACTTGGAAAATGGCTGAGGACTCGATATAATAGCGAGCTCGTACTATGTTGTCTTTATGCGTTAGAGAACCCTTGGTACTTGTCACATTTGGGCACAAACTGCAGTGGCGTTGAGGCCTATTTCTAGGCACATCTAGGCCTATCCTATCAAAAAAGCTAGCGGACCTCTGAGTTTCTAGCTCTTACCAAAAAGCAAGTTGTCTGTAGGTTTTCCCAATGTATAATTTGAAGATATATTTACTTACAAATCCCTTTAATTAGGGCTAGCGTCTCTTCTCTATCTGGTAGAATGAGCCCTTTAGCTATGTACTTCTTCCTCTTGTTGGTGGAAATGACTTGGTTGGAGCAAATTTTGAGGCATTTGGTAGCCCCCCAATGCATTTACATGAGGAACTCTTGTATGGCAGCGTTTTAGGTTGTGATGCTTCTCATGTTGGTAGCCATTTCTCCTATTTCTCTAGTGAGGCATGAAATCCTTACCACTTCGATGGTGGTGGTGGTAGTGGCAAGGTTGGTTGCACCTCACATTACCTCAAGGATCCCTTTCTTTAGGGGCTCCTCTTGCTATTCTTAGATTCATCTTATCATTACTTGAACTCAAAAGGGGTGGATGCCTCCTTTTTTCAAATAGGAGGTCTTCTAGGTAGATTTTTGTCACTAAATATTCCTTTTTCAAGGGATATAAACACCCAAGTCAATAGAACACTTCGAAATTTCTTTTTCCTTAGAACTTCCACTTGTTCTTTCTTCAAGAACAAAACCTTTCTTCAAAAGGAAAATTGAATCATCTTTGCCGACGAGCTTTTTCCATCGAATATTTGTTGATATAGTATAGTTTTCGAGGATAGGATCAATCTATTGACTTTGAAAAATATACCACCACATGGCCAACAAACCCTTGGCTCACTTTCATCCACATGAGCACTTTTCCTACATACTTGAACAAATCTTTAGTCACCCGTGGCCTTCTTCGGTAGTGGGAGAGAAGGCCGTAAACACTTCGATGGTCAAGTGAGTCAATGTTGCATTTTTTTTATATCGCAAGTGTACGATATCGTAACAAGTAGTAAAATAGATCTTTGAGTCCGGATATCATTCCCACGAGGACTATATTTCAGACTTAATCTACTTTTCCTAACTCCTATTTGATAAAAAGACATAAAAAATGGTAATAGTTATGAATAATTTTTTTGTGAACTAACTACCTTAAACTAATGGAAAGAATAAGAAGATTGCAAACAATGATGGATAAAAGATTTGAATACGTAATGAATATTAGGGTAAAACAAATTCATCTAATGATCACCTTAATTCTTAATTCAAGATTCTAACCTAATGTAGTGTTCGGTCGAATTCTTCTATTGTATTCAATTTACCCCTCTCGAATTCACATTGAGCCTATTGAACTAATTCAATTCTATATCTCTATGCGAATTACCATTAGATAAATGAAATATGGTTCTAACAATTCCTATTACGACCACATTAATTAGTATAGGTATCTCTATACGTTATACTACTTTACCGAATTTTATTATACGGTCTAAATCTCAAAAAGTTATGTCACTAGGAATTCATATAACGACCGCAGTATTAGGTATAGGTATCTCTACACGTTATACTTCGTTACCGAATTTTATTACACGTTCTAAGTCTCAAACTCACCTCTCGATTCATAAGAAACTCAAATTATTGGCCAGATAATTAAAAGCATTAAGATCATAACAAAATCAACAGATAAAAGAATAAACCACAAAAATCTTTGAATAAAAGAATCAAGGATCACAAAAGACTACATCGTTTGCCATAATCTAGAGTTTAGTTACGCATAATGTAAAAGAAAAAACAAATAAATGTCTTTGAGTACATCACCACATTAATTGAATAAAGATATAGAAAAGAATAAACTCTTGCACCAAGGCCTTCTTTCACTTCCAATCTTTGCTTTAAACTTGAATCCCGTGATTAATTTCTTCTTTTGATTTAGCTTTTCGATATCTAGTTATATATCTCTATTTTCAATGTTTGGAACTCCCAAATCGTACCTCTTTAGGTCTATTTATACTTCCCTACTCGTGTTTGACAAGTTTGGAGTCTTTTTCTGGTCTTCTCGTAGCCCAAATAGCAAAACCCTACTTTGGCGGTGTAGCTCCGCGATAGTTGTCCAAGCGTTGCCTGGGCGCTATGGTGGCAGTTCCCTTGCCGAAACAAATTTGCTCATGGGTAATATGCAGCGCTTGGGCCCTACTTCTCTGCATTTTTTCCTTTGTCTTTTCCAGTGTTTAGCCGCTATTTGTATGGCACTTGGGTGCCATTTGTACACTTCAACACCCCCTTTTTCACCTCTTTAAAGTAACACTAGTAAACACATTATAAACGTTCTATCATCATAAAATTAAGCCAATAATTAAGTTAAATTGGTATAAAACTCGTGTGCAAAACACACTTATCAGTCAACAAAATGAAGTATATATAAGTGTGGGACAAGCTTAAGGCGCAAACCACAAAAGTGTAAAGGTAATCGGGAGAGAATATATAAGTATACTAAGACATAGAACAAACTTACAATGTTTTTGGAGTGAAAATTTCATTACCTATCACTTGAGTTAACCTTGGGTTTATATAGTAGCTTGGTTGAAGTGGTGGCTGTTGGATGAACAAGCACGTGGCTTCATCCTAAAGATCAAAGCATCTCGTCATAGGTGATCACAACAAACGTCCCGAGCCCTTTAGCATTTAGTGTTTTATGGAAATGTAGCCACTTCATCTCCTAGGTCTGTATACCTACGTAGTAGACTGACATGATTTGACATTTGTGGTGATATAGGAGGTCACATCAATCTCTTCTATAGAGTTTTGGATGTAGAAGATCTTTTGGGAGAAATGATAAAGATTCCCATCGGAATAGGAGGTTTCATGTGAGCTTCAACTACATTAGGCACTTTTGTTACACGCATGGATAACCTCTATGGTTTGAATACAACATGAAGAACATTGCTTCGATTGCCTTACTATAGTTGCTAGTGGGCTTTGGCTGAGGTGCCCTTTTCGCCTTGCTTGGAGTGGCATGCATAGGTGATTATCATGTGATGACATGTGCGCTTTACCTTAAACTTCTTTTTGACCGCCACGTGTGCTTCGATTGAACTATCTGTAGGCATCAGTTGAACTGCCACATAGGCTTTTACTTGGGTCTCGACAATAGGCTTAACAGATATCAAATAGGGCTTAAATTTGTTATTTTTCCTTTTAATATTTACACGCATGTCAAGGGCTTAATGTTGAAGGTACCCCCACTCAAAAAAGTAAAAGTGTCGATTTCAAAAGGGTAATTAGCACATAACGTCCCCACCATTCACTATTATTGCGGAAAACAACCTTACCTTTCATTTTTTGACATTTTCTCCCTTATTTTCACATTTCATTGCGCAAAACGAGCCAAGAACACGAGAACAATTTCAAGAATTATATTAGGTGATGTCGATTCTTCAATATTCTTCTTGTTTTTGTCTTCATAACATGCTAGGCTAGATTTATTTATGTTAGGAGAACGATGAACTATATAATATAAATTTTTAATTTTTAGTTTTACATTCTTGACATCAAAAACACGTTTTTGGATATTGAATAATTTATATGATTTTTTTTTTTTTACAATTGTTAATTGTGTGAATTTGGTGACTTATTTCATGCATTCGAAAAAAGGGGAATATGTTCGATATATATTGAGAAATGCAAGATTCGACCCTACTACACCTTGAGGGGGGTGATTAGGTGAAAATGTGGAATTAAAACTTAATTAACATGCAACAAGTCACATGTTAATTATGTCTAGGTGATTACA